ACTGTGATCATTTTCTAAGACTGAGTGGACAACAGTGACGTATCGTTGCAGAATTATCAACGCGCTTGCTACATCCTTGGCTTCAATCCCCGGTATGCCGACGCTTTTCTCCCGCAGTCCAACCGCCGGCGAAGTCATCCCACCTGAGTCAGATCCGCATAGAAGAAGGACTGTATCCTAAGTGACGCTTCTCAAACTGCTGCCCCGCTGCCTATCTATTGGCCAATGACTGCGGCCTAGGATCTCACGCAGTCCTTATTATTGAACGCAGGCAGACCATCCTTAGTTGTTACAAAGTGTTGGCGCTGCTTCGCAAGCTGCGAACCTGAATATTGGAAGTGTTTCAGCCGCGCTTTTTGCAAAAACCAGAGAAAGTCTTATCGTAGTGAGAACGGTTGGCACAGTGGCCTCGTGTTTGGTGATGACTATCGCGACTTTACTGGCTATGCGGCTGAGGTCAATTGGGCCAAGGTCACAAGGCACCACGAGAAGCGAGGGCATGGGCGACTTGGTCCGTTTTCTGGATGCCTTTAATCATGCGCTCATACGAATTGACCCCATCAGAAGCCGCAACCGTCCGGGAAAACTCGTGCGGAGATGACTTCTCCCGGCGCAGAGGTTCTGCGAAACAGAAAGATGAGAGCCCAGGCGGCTCGCGCCAAACTTCAACTAAAACCCCACGTTTTCTTGTCTGTCGAACCTTGAGTGTTCTTTCGCACCGACTGAACACTGGCCGCCGTCGTACTCGGGTACCATCGAGCAGTACAAGCCCTGCGCGAGACAGCAAACCGTCGCTTGAGACGCTGATCCGAGCATCTGCTGTACACCCTGCAAGATGGACTGGGCAGCTCACCCATCTGCGTCCACGAACCCCTCAAACTCCAGATCTCGTGTATGAATCGCATGACTAGTCCGCCGTGATTGTTTTATATATACCATGTCCTGAAATGCCTCCAGGGAAGAAATGACCTCGCCGACATTGCGCCTAAGGCCGAGTGACTGAAATCACCTTGACTGGTTTGGCTGGTACGACTAGAATAGCGCGGGCAGCCTTCGCAGAGGCAAACTCTTCACCATAAGCTCCCAAGACCGCAAATTGGGGGAAGCGAACCGAAAACTCATATGCCGACAGCTTCCACCATGTCCTCTCCTCAAAGGCCGTGGCAACCTCTCAAAACGCGAGAACTCAAAATGCTGCATAAGCTGAAGACGTTTACGGCAACTTGGTGAATGAACGATCCATCACGTCGAGAATCCCAAAGAACATCCAGATGACACTTGCCCAATATAGAAACAAACCCTGCCTATTACTAGGCCATTAACATGATTTACCAGGAAACGTCAAGGGAATGGGCCAGGGATTCTCTTCCTGTAAAACATGAAGGGTCATTGGTGTTAGTTCAGAGTCGCCATGGGTATTGCATTACTTCTCACAAGTTAAATAGTATTAACGGAATGTGAAATAGATCTGGGCTGCCTATCTGGGAGTAATCTATCTGCGAATACAGGCCTATGGATGCTGGTAGTAATATATTGAGCCGGTGTCATTCTTTGCAAGTGAACTTGAAAATGTGTTAGAGCCGTCATTTGTGTCTTTCTATTTTCTTTGCAACGTGCTGAGGTTGGTGTAATCATTTGTTGAAGTCAGGCAGTGTAATTTAATCTGGAATCCGGCCTTAATGACTTCCTGACTTGCAGAACATCTCCGTACCTTTCTCCTCTACCTTGTGAATGTTCTAAAGGCAGAACGGATGCGAATTCTATGCTAATATAACGGTAATTATTGCGATAGAATGCCGTCGGAAAATAAGCTTGCCATCTCTAGATGATCCGCCCAGCCGATGCGATGGACTACCTGACACGCACGACCGAGATGAAGTGAAATCTGTACGGCGCGAAACTTGAACGGTTCGGTTTCAATATCGCCAATGGCAATCACGTCAAACAAGGCGCTGATTTGTCAGCCGAACCCATGCAATTCGACGCCAGCTCGCGAATCGTCTAGTAAAACCAAGAAAACATTTCTGGCATACAGCGCGCTCCTCGCGATTTTGACACCAAACGTGGGGCTGACAAGAATAATCAGCTGTGCGAAGCACCGAAGCACGTTTAGCAGCTGTCTAAATACGGGCGATGACGAAGATCATTTGGAACAAATTTTAATTATGGAGTTTCCTTTTCTGGTTGCCTAATGATTGAACATCGCTGACGACCTGTCTGATGAGATATGCAAGGAGACACGCTGATATGAAAGCTATCGTTGCGGTCAGTGCATATCCCAGAGCCAAAACCGATACTGAGAGATAGGAACCAGCTCAGGTATCTGTTACATTGTTCATAATTCGCGAGCTTCTTCAGTTAAGCGTGACCTTCTTTGGGGTCTATGCCAGGGCTAGGTGGATCGGTATGCTGTGACTGCGGACAACGGTTGACAATGCATCTCTACTTCCGAGGAAATTCAGGTACGCGGTCTACGCTTCAAACTCGAGTCGATAGTTCTACAACTTTGGGTAGCAGGGCTTAGTCATGGGTTTCAAAGACGTGTTCCGAAGTCCTGATGTCCACCAACTCAAGTCGCCCATGGCAATTTCCGGACTGCATTTGTCGCTAACGAAACTATGGCTATCGATTCGTCTATGGTGTACTGTCAGTCCACTTTCTTTTAACCCTGAAGACCAGATATGCCGAGCAAGTAAGTAGTTTCTGCTGAAACCTTCTCAGTTGCTGCAGTCTAGAAGTAAGGTGCATCTCTCTATGGCTCCAGCTCTATGCTGAGATCTTCGTCTTCAGGTCCATGCTGGTGACCAGTTGGTGCGGCGAGGATGAGATAGAGGGAGTGCGAGTCTCCTTGGCTGGAGATCCGCCAGCTGGGACGGGCAATTATTGCAGGTGATCTTAAGTCACATTGCTAAAATACTTGTCTTGGCACGAGAAACCAAGTAAAAAGAAGCATCAAAGCTCTGCGGAAAATGTATTTGATTTGAAATGACAGAAAACGGTAACTCTCACCGAGGATGCAGACGATATAACCACGATAACGATAAACATATTGCCGACGGAAAGATTTGGGGAGCGGAGCTTGAGACACAGATGAAATTATTGCCGTCCCTCGCCATTCCGCACACTTCAGGATGTGCGCCGCACATAGCTAGTGAGGCTATCATAATAAGCAAGGCTTACAAGATAGAAAGGCGTGGCTCCGAGACGAGCATGAATCGACGAAGACCCAGCAAATGCGGCCAGGCTGCATGCTTTCACAGAACCTATGCTTGGCGAGGCGGTCGCCTATGTATGGATTGTGAACTCCGGGAATCTCGTCTCTAGAATAACCGTCCCCTTTCGTATATTTAACGCCGCCGGGACCTCTTCACATAAAACAAGTCCGCTGAATAGCGCTGGGGGCTACTAAATATGTTGGCCCTTTCAGGCTGAGACTCGAGCGATTTCATCCCACTTATAAGGGGCTGGAAATGAGACGCAGCTTGATATAAATAAGAGCGAGGCATACTTTACATTATACATAGCCTTAGAACTAGTTTAATCTTTAGGGAACGGTAAGAAACTTGCAGGATCTTGACTGCAATAGAAATGCTACGCGTCAGTTGAGGCGAACGTAACCCTGCACAAGTTCCTCTGCAGCATTACTTTCTGTGGGAGCTTCCTGATGTTAAGTCTTCTGCACAGAGAGTGGTGGTACGACTGCTGCAATAGAGTGTGCAACTGAGAATTGTTTTCCCTATATTTACTGTCCTGAGGGTTGTGGTGCAGAGTTGTGCCAGTCACGGACCTGTCGAAGAACAGTACGACGAGAGCAAGCGACAACTGTTGATTTATGCAGATTTTTGGGAACTTCTCTTTTAATTATCTGCTTGATGGAACAAACTGGGATCAAGGGGCAGGATGGACGGTACTGTGCGGGATTGTAATGGCTAGGAGAGCCTTCGGGACTAGTGTCCTGGACGTCTTGATACGGTTGAATTTCACACAGAGGTGCTTCAATACAGTAGGTATGTTTCAAACTCAGCCGAATACGAAAAGGATTGCGCTTTCATCCACATGCATTCGTGTCACCTAAAATGTTATGAGGCGATTGAGCTGTCTTGATGCGTGCTGGTCATAATCTGGTGGATGGATGCGAGATTGGACGGTCATTGCCTTCGCCGCCAAAATGAACGGCTTTGTGGCACGTGGATGGTGCTCCGATTGTATAATGGAGTGAATTGGCTGAAGTGATGTATTCGAGTGACCGCACCACTAGGTTCTGAGGTTAGCAGAGGATGAAAGTCCGGAGAAGTCCGACCGCTACATCGGATTCCGGCCCGACAAGTGGGGCAGACTCGGAGCCATCTGGCAAGCATCCACCCCAAACACCATGGTCGCCGGCGGCCTTTTCCCGGTAAACATGCCGATCGAGATGTAACGCCACCTCTTAGCATACCTTATAGGAGTACAAAGAGGTGCTATGCTCACCAAGACACAGCCTTCTTATCTTATGCAATTTTCAATTTCGCTCTGACGATGGTCTCAGACACGTGGCGTTCAGCCCCCTGCCTGATCCCATGCGGCAATCTGATGTAAACAACGCTCCGCCTAGTATTGATTGACAAAGGCACGAAAGGTAGATTGACTGACAAGGCTCCATGCAGTACCAGCCATGAGGAGGCGGGTAATTGGCCCGCCATACGTCGGGCGGTGGCCTCTGACCCCCAACAAGCTCATTCGGCAAACGCATTTCCTTCTTTCGGAAGCTTGAGTGGGCCTTCCCCTGACAATTGCATGGCCGCACGCTGGCTGCCCAGCCCCCCTCACCAAAGGCCGAAGTCACGGTCGCAGTCGCGAACTGGCTAGGTTTCCTCTGTCACCACTATTTGACTCCTCGGTCTAAGCAATGGAGTGACCGATGCCACTCATTATGACGCAAGGCTCGTAGAAAACACAAATGAATGCCAATTGAGCATGGGAAGGTGGAAATGGTACTTAACATTCACCTACGTGGGTGTCTATGATGTCTCTCCTTTCTGGCGCCTATCTGAGTTTTCACGTCGCACGCGTGGAGGGAATCTGACCCTCCTGCTTCCCTGTGAACTGATGGCTTGTTCCAGCTTCTGACGGGCGGACTCCAGCCTCGCGGGCATGTCCAACTCAACAATCGAGTTCAATCCGGCATCAATCTCGGTTGACAAACTTCTGTAACAATCGCTGAGGGCTTTTGAGGCTTCCTTGACTAACCCACGTAGCGCCCTGCGCTTCTGCCACTGCGTACGCCATGTTGTCAGGGCCTCTGAGTTGGCTTTGTCCATCATTGGGAAGTTATATCTATTTTCATCGGTTTGTCCCAAGGCAAAATTCAACTCTGCGCCCGCCGAGTGCACTCGCATGACGAGGCTCTCGTGAAGAGACAGTCGGATAGTATTTGTGAGTTCGTTGGTAGTTCTTTGCTGCTCCGAGAGGATCCGGAAATGACGGATGATGTCCTCGAGCTGATCTAAGCGTTCCCGAATATAGGGGTGCCACGCTTCCACATCTCCCGAATCAAGATCTAGAGCAGACTGTATGTTCCGTTAGTTTTAGGGCTGTCGCTTAGTCTGTAGATTGGCTCACTGGTGGTCTTAAACAACACTCAAAGTCGTCATCGCCGCCGGTCTCTCTCGGCACGGCCGCTTTTCTGGCCCGCGTGCCGGGCTCCGTGTCAGTGTCAAAGAAGCGAAAGTCCGTATCATCCATTCCGTCGTCCATCTCGTGATCCTCAGCCACGTAACATGCAATCTCTTCGTGATCTGGCGCTGAATCTGGCCGTTGGCGCTTTGCCACAGAAGCCGCACTGGAAGGTAACATCATGGGTTGTATAAGGCGACGGTGAGAATAATAGGGTCAAGAAGCCACGAGTATCTTCGCCCGGAAAGAAGTTTGATCCGTCGATAGGACTTTGAACTAGCAGCATTGTGGAACGGACTTGTCCCTCTTCACCGGCACTCTTTGTTGAACTGATTTTCCCACGCGACCGTAGAGAGCGGGGCGGGGCTTCGCTTCTGGGCACCACGAATGATTGGTCTGTTGGTGCAAAGCGCAAGACACTGCGCATCCCGCACCAACACGCCAATCGGATGAAATCTTTTTCATTCAAAGGCCCGCAGCACACGCGTTGGGACTGCTGCAGGCTCGGCAAGCTCAAAATGGCCAGCAACATCTTTCAGGCTGCGGGCCAAGACAATAATTGGAAAAATGACCACATCGGTGTAATCCATGCCACCTGACCTGGTTTCCCTTACATTTGTGACCAGTCTGTCAAGCTGCAGCGAGCAGCCTGGTCGTGTCTGAATACAGGCCACCAATGGTGGTTTTGCGAGGGTGGTAGACGGCGGTGGGCTATGTTGATGAGTTGCAGTCAGCAGCAGGACACTGACTTCGAAAAGTGTGTACGGATAGCGGGAGCAGCCTGAACAGATTGCAGAGCGGGGGTTTCGTGCCTACACCCCAGGATCCCCTCGTCTCTGAGCAGATTTTTTGGTAGGCTGATGTCAGGGTTCGGAGTTTCCCTTCTAATATTCAGACGTTCTTCGGCTTCCCGAAAACCGGCAGCACATGCCTATGGACCATCTGGCCCTTTCTCCTGCTGCAGCAATCTGTTTCAAGCCCGCTCAAATGACAAGCCAGCCCAAGCCAAAAAGTTGAGACAAAGTGGTCGAACGAGTTATACATAGATGGCGCAAGCATTTAAAATAAGTGCCACGGAACACGGCATCGCCCTTCCATATCCCTAATTCCACGATTCATGACCTAATTGGTACGAATACAGGGCCTGATCCCAATCATCACGCCCAGAATCTATCGAGCTGGGTCCCTTTTGCCAGTCAACAAGCTGGGACGGAGAGAATCACAGAAAGAATAACTATTGATTGCTCGCGTAGTTATGCAACACCTCAACTCTTCGGATGCTGCTTTTGAAAGAGCATCAGCCTAATCCATCCCCCCTGTGTACACTCTAGCACGTACGAAAGTAACTATCGTTTCCTCTTACATGCTCTTATATCTCCACCCAAGTCTAGTGTGCTTAAACTAAAAGAGACTGTTTTGATGGCGAGATATTATTTAATTCAGTCACCGTTCCTGCTGTGACGGAGGACTGTCGAAGAACCGGGTTGTTCGCTAGCAGCCGGGAATGGGGATCTCGATCGCTGCAACACCAATTGCTGCTGCTGTGATTGCTCATCCCCCAGACGCGCGAAGTAATGAGCGCTATGTATGGAGGTCGCTTTCTGTCGATTGACTCACCGGGGCGGTCTTCTGATGCGTCATCAACACATTCCAGCTTCAGAGCAGCCTCTCGCTTGATGACTTGCTCATCCCCTTTCGAAGGGCTGGAGCGTTGAAAAAGGGTCGCATCGAGACGGCTTAAATGACGGAGTAGACTGCAAGTCCATCCTCGATAGGCTGGGAAAGAGGGCAGCGGTATTCAAGCCTCGATAGTTTGGTTTGCCGAGGCTGGCGAGTGAAAGGTGCCGCGGCGGTTGAGATTTTGGCGTTTGCTGTCGGAAGGGGGCCACTAGTCAAGAGAAGGATAGGAGGAAGGCGTATGTGGGTAAACGTAGGAAGTGCAGTGGCTAGAGCGACGGCCCTTCCGTTCATATTTCAGGCAGCCCATCCAGTTTCTCGTGGTTGCCGCTGGATGGGGTCAACATCGGCTGCCTCTTGCCTTTGAAACTTTCTAACTACAAAAGCCGACTGACGCAGCGGTTGGTTACTTCTTTCCTTTTTATTTGCCGCATCATCGTCGTCGTCGCCTCGTCACCATCCCAATCGCAACCTGACACCACGACTACATCACAGCAAGATCTCTGTCGTCGCACCATCGACAATCCATCTCATTCTCACTTCTTTCAATTAACGGATTGCACCAAAGTCATCCCTACTTCATCGCATTCACATTGCCTTCAATCACCGTCGAGAACGGTGGCGCACCGTTTCACAGCCACGACTGGTTGGGGCGCTTGACACCCCTACGGCGCGTGTCTTTCGAGTGCGAGATCGAACCAAGCACACGGCCGAGAGTGTACAGTCAGCCGATGCCAGAAGTGGGCAGACCGTTGGCAAAAGTCCTGGCAAGGCGTGGCGAAACCCGCGGCCGGCGCGTCCCAGGAAGGTAGACACATCCGTCACGACTTCTTCCCTCGAGAAGCACCAGGGGCACGGGGCGTCAGGTGCCTACATCTCCAAGGTCCGCCTGACATTCTTCAGCACAAGCAGGGCAGTTGCTCTTGCTTTCCAAGTTACCGCGAAACCTTCCAACCGCAAGACCACGACAACAGCTCCTCCCACTTCGGAAGCTGGGAAGCGACACTGAAATCATCGGACGTCGGTTTTCTGCACTTCGACAACGAGACAGGACAAGATGCCGACTTCACCACCTTCCGTCGGCAGTGAGTCGGGCGAAATTGCGTATTTCAAATCACTCAATCCCCACGGCCAGCACTGTTTTCTTGTGTCAAAGATGGAGCAGCTTCTTGCACTTCGGCCACACATGAAAACGCAAGCCGACGAGCTCAGCCGCAATCTCATCAACACTGTTATGGTCCAGGCTAAGAATGTCGTTCTGCATCATGATTCCAAGGTTAATGGAGGAGGTGGCGCGAAGCCATGAGCATTGGGTTCATGGGGGGGTGCATGGTGCTTGGAGGGCTTTGGCTGCCCGGGGTGCGGACATCGTGGAGAATTAATTTGAGGGTCATGGAGCTGCCTTTCTTCCAAAGGCTTGAGACCCGTGATGCTGTAGAGAGTGCATCAAATCATAAGAAAAGAATCACATACATGGAACTAGCCCGTTGGAATGACACCGTGAATTAGTTGGAGAGCGCAAATGTGCAGCAATTATCTCAGGGTTCGCAGGTATTTCGGACGGCAGTTGAGGCCTCGTATTGGTGCAGGTGAGAACGCCCAGCATTCTTTCTAAATGCAGCTCCCTCCGTCACCAGCTACGAATGATGCCACGTCTGTTGCCCCCGAACTTCCATTCAGCTGTTCGTCGGACAACCTCCCCGTTTGAGAATCTGCTCTTTTTCTCGTGTCAGTTGTTCGTTTCTCGAAAACTTCTCAAATTTCAGGAGTCTCCCTTTGCCATCGTGCAGTTTTCTACCCTTGTTACCTGTGCTCAGCATTCACATCAAGCGCGCCACCAGTGCTCCTCCACGATGTCTAGCAGCAGAAACCCCGTCATTGTAAGCATCCGCCGGGATGCTAAGGTAGACCAGTCTCTCCGCGAGCTCAATGAGACCTGGAACCAAGCTCAAGTCCCCGAGGCCGACCTCAGTAGAGTCTGGGACCAGCTACATCAGGATTGGTGGACAGCTGCTCTCGCCGTGCATACATCCGGCCAGCACACCAGCGCTCGGCACCATGTCCTCGACTGGCCCGCCTTCATCCGCGAGCACCTCTCCGCCGCCGATCTTGTCACCTACCTCGGCCGGATCTTTCGCATCGCCCATGACGCCGCTAAGCATAAGCCCGAGTCCGCCAGCCGCCTGCGGAACGCCGCCCTCGCCCTCGGCCTCACCGACAACATCGAGCTGCATCTTGAGCTCGACCAGGAGGTTTGCACCAGCACCGGCACCCTCAAGGCCCTCTCCTCCCTCCGGCGCTCCACCGCCTACGAGGCCGTCGACCCCGAGGACATCCGCACCGAGGTCCGTGACCGCATGCTTGCGCGCGTGTTTGGCTCCCCCGGCCCCTATGTCGTAACGCCGATGCCAAGCCTACGCGACGTCAACCAGGCCATCACCGCCCTCCGCGCCAAGGCCGTTCCGCGAGCCGCCCCCGAGTCCAAGAAGCGCAAAGCCGCATTAGATGACGCCGGCGACGACAGCATCGAAGTCTCTCGGAGGTCCAGCAAGCGTTTGCGAACGCAGATTCCCGAGGAGGACCTTGAGGAGATGGGCCAATCCTTCCTAGAGAGCATCCGTGAAGATGGACGCCCAAGCCTGCTTTCACGTTTCCTCGACGAGGACATCATGACCAACGGCGACATATTCGCCTACGCGCCGCCAGAGGCTTCAGCCCTGCCAGACCTCGAGCCCGATGCCACCGAGGACCAACTCCAAGCGCACGCAGCACAGGCAGACCGGGACAAGGAGGCGCAGGATGACGCGGTCGTGAAAGAGCAGCTTGAGCTGTGCAGTCGACTCGTGCAGATGGGAACGCCAGGCGAAGGAGCTGCTGGTGATCCGTTAGTTCACGGTCTGCTGCAGGCTTTGAATATGTCGGCCAAGAATCTGCTTTGCGTTGCCCGGGACAAGCATACTACCGCACATCTTGAGTCACGCAAGAGGAAGAGGGAGGAGGAGGAGGAACAGCTGGATCTGAACGACTAGAGCTAAGAGCTTGCGGTCTGAGGTTTGGGGCTTGTGGAGTGATGAAGTATGCTAATGAGGCTGATTCAGTTTATAATTCAAAGAGGAGGAACCATCCGTTCGAGCGTCACACGCGATTTTCAGTCAGTAATCGTGAAATTATGTTCGCTGTGCTATTCACAAAAGTAAAAGCGAAGTAACTTACGATCCTCATATCTTAAAAACCGACTATATCTTCATGGATACCTGGATAAACGCAATTGCATTGTCCGTTCCATGTTCCAAACCGCAGTGTTACCGGCCGGGAATCAGAACCTTTCTATTAATCCCAATGTCATCCTTTGGCTTTGCAGGAATCCCATAGTCTGATTGAATCTCCTTTCCTTTGGCGCCGGC